GGGGGGCGTTCAGAAGTAATGGCTCTGCCAAGTCCTGGGCGTCCCCCAAGTAAAGCACAGCGCAGTCCACCGTGTGGTTTTAGTGCGGTAAGCCCAGCGGTCGCAATGTCAGCGGCCGCACCCGATCGCCATTAGGGGGGCAGTCCCACATAACCCGGACCACGTAATGTAAACTCCCTTCCCGGAGGGGGGCCCGGGTATCCATAAAGGATTTCCACACGTAAAAAAAAAATGGACCGGACCAACAACTTCTCGCCTATCGACTTACAACGGTAACCTACGGGCTCACTTGCGCGCCCTTCTTGGCGATGGGGACCCTCCAGCAACTAGTGAGTGACGAAGGGCATCGTTACCCCCAGGCGATCGGCCCTATGACCAAGGGCAGGTATGTCGACGACATCTTCGGAGGAGCTGACTCACCCTCCGAAGCCGAGGAGATTATTAGGCAAGTGATTCAGCTTTGCGAAGCGGGAGGACTTCCGTTGCAAAAGTGGAATAGCAACTGTACCAAACTTCTGCCTAGCTCAAATCAGGAGACATCCGCCGACGTCGAGATTGAGCCGTCCTCCAGTAAGATCTTGGGCCTTGTTTGGCGACCAGGCTCCGATACCTTGCATTTCTCGCCTGGTATTCCCTGCGTACCCACCTTCACGAAAAGAGCGATCGCCTCGGACATCGCGAGACTGTATGATCCTCTGGGGCTAATTTCACCAGTTGTCATAAGAGCTAAGGTCCTCTTACAGGAGCTTTGGCTGTTGAAAATTGAGTGGGATGAGACCCTCCCTACCGATGTCCAAGAGAGATGGTCTGCGTTCCGCCAGCAACTACGCCAGTTAGAACCACTTTCCATACCACGATGGGTCGGCATTCTTCGCTCCGACGCTCCGAGGATCGAAATACACGGATTCTCGGATGCATCGCAACTTGCCATGGCGGCGGCAGTTTACACCAGGATCCTGGCAGACAACGATACAGGTTTCGTCCAGCTGGTGTGCTCCAAGACGAGGGTCGCGCCCCTCAAACGGCTCACCATTCCGCGACTCGAGCTCACTGCCGCTCTGCTTCTAGCTCGGTTGATAGCCAGGACGACAAAGGCTCTGGAGCTGTCTGACACACCGGTCTTCTGCTGGTCGGACTCCTCAGTTGCCTTGACGTGGATATCGGCTCACCCCTCACGCTGGAAGGACTTTATCCGGAATCGCGTGTCTGCCATCCAAGAGATCCTACCAAACGGGTCATGGCGCTATGTGCCGGGAAAGGAGAATCCTGCGGACCTTGCCTCAAGAGGCCTACTACCGGATCAGTTGATACACCGCGAGCTGTGGTGGAAGGGACCTAAGTGGTTATCCGACTCCCCATCTGCCTGGCCTTCCGCCGAATATAGACCTGCGCCAAGGTCGAATTTGGAAGAACGACCCGGACAGGTTCTGGTGGCCGCTGCCTATCGACCTCAGTACTGGGAGCTGCTTCACAAATATTCCTCCCTCACCAGGCTCCTGCGTGTTACTGCGACGTGTCGCAGAGTTGCAGCCTGTCTACGCAAGGTGCCGAAATCCTCCCCCATCGACCACCCCTTGACCCCGCTGGAAATCCAGCTGGGCCGCGACCTGTGGATTCGAACGGTACAAAGGGAGTGGTTTCGAGAGGAAATACGGCTTCTACTGAGAGGAGAACCGCTGCT